CGGGACTTTGATATGTCCACGAGGCACACCCAAAGTGCAGAACACGGATTCCTCGTTCAACGGAAGTCTTCCGCGTCCTGGAATCACGAATTCCCTGGAGGCAGGCTCGTAGATCTCACCAAGCCAGTCGCATATAGGGTTGACAAGGTTCGTGCACCGGACATCCATCAGAGCCTGCATACCCATCTCAGCAGCAGCTCCCTTTTGATCGTCGGTGAATTTTTCAATCAACACAGTCAGACGTTCCTGGGAGGCTCTGTTGCGAATATGTTTCCTCTTCTGCAAAAAACAGTCACAAAAGTGATCAGCTGTTGCCATGTTTTACAATGTCATGAAAATGTAGTTCATGACAGACGACTACAAAAGATATAGGTGCCAACCAATAACAAAAATCGGGAGGAGATGGGGCAGGTGTGTGGACAGTTACCTCGTCGCCCTCTTTTCTCCGTCCAGTTGTCCGGTTACACTGTGGTGGATCCATGAAATCATCGTCATCATTTTGATGATCCCCACGAGCCATTCTGCTGATGTAGGAACATACCAAATTGTTAAGGGGGAAAATGTAAATGCAAGAGGTAAGCATTTGCCAACTAATAGAAAATGTCAACTAGTGAATGCAAAAAAATAGCAAGAACACGCACGCCCCCCCCCCCCACCTCTATGATTGTCAAGAACATAAACGTGGCAAGTAAGCACGTTGGTAAATGCACTTGAAAATAAAATGTTGAAGTTGCCATGTTATCCCAGTATAGTACAAAAAAGCAATGAAACCACATCTGAATCGATAACCTGAAAACAGGCACAGTGTGTTCAGATATTACAAAAGTCATTGTGGCAAAACGAAAAATTTGCGTCCGTAGTACAATGAAAATGCCACATTGTACTGACTGTAACATGGCAACAGACATGATGTGGCAACAGACATGATATGGCATCTGGCACAATTTGTACGCAAATGTGGTTGCCATATTATGCAGCCAGTTTGCCACACTGTCATATCTGCATTGTGGCAACAGACATTGTGTTCACATTCTATTTGCCACATGATTATACAATCCAAATGGCAAACACGCACACTCGATGTGCACATTAGTTCAGTCCAGTGCTGCTGGATGCCAAAAATGCATTGACTACCGATTGTGGCAACTATCAAAGTGTGGAAACTATCACAAATAATTCAGAAAAAATTAGATCTCACAATGAAAAAGCATGTTTGTGGTTACTATCATATAAATTCAGCACAAATTCAGTTTGCCACATGGAAGAGCGTGTGTGTGGCAACCATCGTAGTCATTTAATAAAATTAGTTGCCCTATGTGAAAGCTTGAATGTGGCAACTATGACAGTCATTTTCAGAAATCTGTTGCCGCAAAGGAAAACACGTTTGTGGCAACTACCACATTTGTTCAGAGAGTTTAGTTGCCACACATTTGTTCACGTTCAGTCATACTGCCATAGTTGCCACATTCAGAAAGCATGTTTGTGGTTACTATCATATAAATTCAGCAAAATTCAGTTTTCCACATGGAAGAGCGTGTGCGTGGCAACTATCATAGTCATTCAATAAAATTAGTTGCCCTATGTGAAAGCTTGAATGTGGCAACTATGATAGTCATCCTATATACTTAAGAAGTTCACCCCCACTACTTGATTTATCTCAACATGCAGCATAGACACATCAGCATTCAATGACATCTAGCCACGTCACACCTCATGCAATCCCACTCAAGCCCACCTCCTCTGACATTTTTTTTTTGAGAAACTGACTGACAAAATATTTTAGCTGACGAAAAAACGAAATCTTTAGGATTCCTCACTGACCACGTCAGCGACCCATTACCAGCAGGGGAAGAGAGACCGACCGCTGCACGGGAAGAGAGACCGATCCGTCTCCCCCTCGATTTTGTTGAACCCATCAATCCCAGTTTTCCCTATGTATAATCCGGAGCGGCGACCGGGATACCATCTCTTCCGCCATCTCACGCTACTTTGGTAGCCTCTCCGTCGACATCAACACCAAGGGCACCAATCTGCTACATGCACAGCAGGACGACGAGGCCGGCCGCGAGGTCTCGTCACCGTCGACGTCGCCGCAGATCCAGGCCATGGACGCGCCGGAGCAAAGAGGCTCAAGGACATGTTCTATGTCATGCTCGACAAGGTCAGCAGCTTCAATCCAGATAGCTAGCTTTACCTACATAGCCAATCAAATCGTCGAAGCACAGATCCACGGCTGGACCACATGCGTTGCTTGATTGATTCATTAGTAGGCACTGTTGCAACGCATTAGAAGTAAAAGGAATCTGGGATTACCTATTCTTTTGTGTCACAGGTACTGTGTAGACAAGCCCACATCGGTGCCATCATCTCGCCATGGCTCAGGTGGAAGGTGGGGGCAATCTATCTAGAAGTTGGGAAGCCAGATTTGGAGTTTCTTTTGCCTGCATGGTTTCAAAAATATGGAAGTGAACCCTTGCATACTATCTGGATCGGTGACTCTTGCGATTGGTGTCTATGCTGTGTTTGGTAGTATTTACCCAACATTAAATTGGTGGCTACACCCCGACTCGCCATAGGAATTTGGTCATCAGGATGCTGTTCATCTATTACCTTTTTTTTATCTCGATGTATGGATGTTCCGCCCAAAATTTACGAGGCTGCTGGTGAATATGAAGTGTTTGCTTACTTCTCTGTTACTTCTACCTGTCACAAGTTACAGATTCAAGGTATGCATCACCTGACCAAGATCAATGATCTGGTCATCTGCAATCAGAGGGATTGTTTCTCTACACGACTATACTTATATTTTTGACAAGGTTTGGTAATGATAGGAGATGGTCATTTTCCTCAATTTTCTTGAGAGTAGTGGATCTGCTATATTTATTTTATCCCATAATGTCCCTTTGCTTTGTCAAATATGAACATGCATCAACGTTGACCATGTATTCTCATTTTTTTGCTTTCGGGTTGTAGGGATAATATCACGTAGTGAGAGTAAAGAATATATTCATCTCATTCTTGATAGTATATCAGTGGACGAAAACCATCAAATTGTCATTCTTTGTTTTCATTTTCTTAATGCATCTTATAAATTATCATGTGTAATTTATGTTTGTTGCAAACGAATTCCATATGTAGCATGGTAATTTGGCTATTGGTGGTTATCTATGTATAAGTCAGCACGCTATTTCAGCCCATTGCTTTGAGATAAAGGTCTTGGCACTCGCTCAAAGAAGAGAAAAGTATGGCTATTCTTTGCTGCGAATATCATAATTGATTTTTTATTTCGATATTCGAGCCCATCACTCAAATGTAGCTACTACAATGGCTAATATTCGACGTCAGTGTTCATTCTTGTGCAGATTTAAGTATGTGCAGTATGTAGATATGAAGTTTGATTTACAACAGAAGACCCACATAGTACACACAACAATTGTCTTAAAATGACGTCATAGGATTTTTTTTCATTTTGGAATCCCAGTACTTTATGTGTTTGTATACACTAAAATTCGTGTAAGTGATATGATATTATGTATGTCAGATGACTATATTTAGTACAAAAAAATTGGATCGCGTAATTCCCATTTTTCACCCTTTATAACAATACTCACGACTATGTACATTGCGGAATATTCATATTAATATCAAATATCTAATATGCAAGTAAAGGTATTCAATTTATGTATTATCATGTGAGTAAGACTAACAATTCCCGCAGCAACGCGCGGGGTATCATCTAGTTTTCAGAAATCTGTTGCCGCAAAGGAAAACACGTTTGTGGCAACTACCACATTTGTTCAGAGAGTTTAGTTGCCACACATTTGTTCACGTTCAGTCATACTGCCAAGTTCGCCTCATTCAACAGTTTCAAAACCAATCTAACTAGATCTAGGTTTCAATGGCAACTACTTCGACTTCAAAATCACCCTCAAAATTCTCGCACGAACTGACTGCAAACCCAAATTTCGAACCAATGCGCATCAAAACAACCCGGCGGACAACTCCCAAATCCATACGCAAGACTAGTGCGTGCCTCCGAACAGGCATAACCGCACCGATGATGCCGCCCCAGCGGCGGCGACGAAACTGCCCAGTCCCACCAAAAAACGGCTAGCACACAACTACGGCGCCGGCGGGAACGCCGGCGCACCGCCGAATCGCTAGAATCTCTAGGAATCGATCTAGGAATCGAACAGGGAGGGAAAGGGGAAAAAATGCAGGGAGGGGTTGCGAGAAATGAAGCGAGCATTACCTTCAACCCGCACGGGTTCCGGCGAAGCCGCTCCGCTCCGGCGAGCACCACCGACGGCCGCGAACACCGTCGCCTGTTCCGCCTCCGCCGTCGCCTTCTTCCCTCGCCTTCTCCTCCAGTGGTTTGAAGTGCGAGTGGGTTGTGCCAGTAAATGCGTCACGGGTGAGTAAATGGAACCGTGAGGGAGATGGTGGAGGGGTGTGCGACGTGTTTGACGTCAACCACGGTCGGAGCGTGGCGTGCGGGCGCATGGCAGTTTCACCGCACGCCTCTTAGTGGCAACCGCTGACCACGGGATGGCAACCACCGTGCGGGCGAACAGACTCGCACACCGCACACGAGACTCGTCCTACGTGGCGCCGAAAACCGGCCTGTTTGCTCCAAGATTCGTGGGTACCGAAGCCAACGAAGATGCTTGCGTGTGGACGGGGTGGTGAACTTCCACACGTGTGGGCGTTAACATTTCCGTTTTTCTTTTTGCAAGCTACAATTAGTCTTGCTTATATTACGTGGGGCTAGCATATGTAAGAAAGAGAGCTACGCCTATTAGTTATTCTAAAAAAACTACGCCTGTTAATAAAGTCGGTCTCCATAGGTATACGTGTTGGACTCCAGCCAGGCAATAAAGCATGTACGTGTTGCGTAAGTAAGGGCGAACTGAAATAACAGGTCCAAAACGATTGGTGGATCGATGACCCGCAGCGGCTTCGGCGGCGCAGTACCTAGCGAAACACATAACACGCCGTCCATGGAGACATCGGTACAGTGGGCCGATCTCCCTGGCGATCTCCTTCAAGTGGTCTACCTCAACGTCGGCAGCTTCGTCCACCGCGTACGCTTCGCCGTCGTGTGTAGGTCGTGGCGACCAGTCGCCATCGCGGCTAGGCACGCCGCACCGCCCACTCTGCCCTGGCTCATCTTCCCCTCCTTACATGGTGATGATTGCAAAACAATGCGTGCATACTGCCCCGAGGACGGCAGGGTCCTGCGCATTCCGATCAAAAGCGAGGTGCTCGTTGGCAAGCGGCTAGTGGGAGCATACGACGGCGGCTGGGTCGCCGCTCTCGGGAAGGACAAGCAGCTTGACGATGTGAACGTGTTCTCCGGTGTTGAGTTGCTCATCCACGCAAAGAACATGAGGAATGTCTACTCGGGCTCAAAGGTTGTCTTCTCGAAATCCCCCGTGTCAAGTGACTGCATCCTCGCCACCATCCCCCTGCGAAGTAGCATCGCCGTCTGCAAGATTGGTTGTCTGGCCGACAGATGGACAACAAGCAGGTGTATTGGGCAGATCCTTAAGGACATCGTATTCTACAATGGAAGATTGTATGGCCTCACCGCCTCAATGGGCCTGATCAAATTCAATATAGGCGTGAACAAATACGGCAGGCCTCTGGTCGCTGTTGACGTCGAGTTGCGTATCCAGATTGATAATGAACCTTTCATATGGTCAACTACCATTGTTGAGCTGCGAGCCAAGCTAGCGATGGTGCTAGGGAAATTGCCATTGTACAACAACAGCCGCGAGCCTTTCTTCAAGGTTTTTGTGCTGGCGGATGAATCGATGACAAAGTATGCTTGTAAGTGGGAGGAGGTAATGAGCTTGGGAGACTGTGCCTTATTTTGGGGGAAAATGTCCAGGGCGGTTGATGTGCCAGCGGTTGGACTTGGCAGCGTGGAGAGAAACCACATCTACGCTGATGATATGACATACTTGACACGTTTGGATGGTCATGGTAATCGTGTATATCCTATGCTAGACGAAAGTAGTGACAATGTCGCGCAGAGGGTCAAATTAGCAGGATCTTATGTAGCAGCTCGCGATCAAACTGGCATGTGGGTACTCCCTCTTGGCATATGGGTACTCCCTCCTTATTTCTAGCCAACCAAGAGTATTCTTGCGTGGGAGTTTTAAGTTTTAACTTTATTTCTAGTGTACTTGGTATTATGGTCACACTTACAAGATTGTAAAAGTTGCAGAGTATGCATGGTCGCATTTTACTATGAGATGTAGATGCATTGCTACCCCCCCAGGGCCCCCGTCCCGCCTAATCCTTGAGCGGTTGACCACGAGATCTAGCCTTTTGATTTCCCACGGACAGGCTTTGACCAGTGGACCTCTCCACCCGGTTGTGTTAGGTCGGCCCAGAGGGACACCCGGGAGCAACATCCGGGCCAAAACCACAGCTGCATCCACTCCGTGTAGACCCGACGCGTCCGTTTCCCCCCTCCAGGTGCCGGCGGCGGCGCCGTCCATGAGGGGGGGCACACCGCGGATGTGAGGGGGGTCACTCTCTGGAGACGGGTGTCGGGCGTTTGTAACTGCCACAAAACTTCTGTCAGCATAGCTGTTTTTGATTTTAATAAAATATAAGGATCTATATTTAAAAGAACATGACCGCACATTATTAACGTGCTCGAAAAAATACAAACTATATATATATATATATTCATAATATATGAAAAAAATACAAACTACATATATATTCATATGTATGTTTATATTTAACATGTTACATGTTAGTTGATATAATAATACATAAAAAAGCATTAAAAAATATGTACCGAAAAAAATCTAACTATGCCGACGGCCTAGCCGTCGGCATAGATCCGACCAGCGTGCCGCGGATCACTGACGTGGCAGATATGCCGAAGGCAGCCGTCGGCATAGGCTCTGCGTGGTGCGGCCTGGATCAATGACGTGGCCTGCGGACCTATGCCGACGGCCCCCCGTCTAGGCCGTCGGCATAGCTCTGACGCCGTTAGCCAGGGGGTGGCCGGGCCCCACGTGTATGCCAACGGCCTATGTAAGCCGACGGGAGCTGTCGGCGTATATGTAGCTAGGCCGATGGCCATTCTATGCCGACGGGTGCCGTCGGCTTATCTCTGCGTAACCCGACGGCCTTTGTACGCCGACGGCCAGAACCAGGCTGTCGGCATATCTCCCAGGAAGCCGACGACGGTCGTCGGCATTGTTTTGGCCGTCGGGGTATGGCCCTGTTCCGGTAGTGCTCCTTATTTCTAGCCAAGAAAGTTTTAACTTTATTTCTAGTGTACCTGGTGTTACGGTGATTATGACGAAAAAGGTTTCCCCCGCTTTATATTATAATGCAAACATCACCGATTACAACTGAAGCCGATAAAAACACACACCACACACCCAAGGCAACATACAATGGTGCCTGGCACCGAGACACCATCCCATCGATCTTGTGTTGCAAACTAATGTTTCATATACCAAATGTTTCATTTTAGAGAACAGAGGACAGGGCCATGCTTTATAGAGAAAGGAACAAGTTGAGCTAACACCCGTAAAAAAGGGTTCAGCTACCAGCAATAATACCATGCACAAAAGCCAAAAAAAACATATAGAGGAAAATCGATTGACGGGTTGCGGTACACAAACAAGTGCAACTGCTTTTATTTCGAACGCAAAATAATACCATGCATCAGCAATAATAGGTGCGGTACACAAACGAGGTTTTGTGCGCTGCTTGCACTTGAAATTAGAAGAACAACGAGATAATGAACAAGTCGTGGCTAAGGAACAAGATAATAATAGTGACCTTACATGAAAACAATGGCCTGGCCTGAGGAAGGTCGATAACTTAATTAACCTTAGCGACGCATGACTTCATGCATTTAGGGAACTCCAGGCCCTTCTTGCGGATGTAGAGGTCGTAGCAGTAGTCTTCTCGGTTGTACCTCAGGTTGACGGCGGCGTCCTGTTTCTTCCTCTTCCCTTCTTCTTCTTCTTTTTTTCCGGCCGGCATGCTCCGCCGGCATTGCCAGGAGACCGGCTCCTCCTCCTTCTCTTTCTTCTTCTCCTTCTGCGCTCCGATGCACGGTATTCCTGAACCCCAAGTCGCATTCACGGACGCAAGGCATGTAGGAGTCAGGGTCAAAGTCTGGATCAACTATGTCTTCGCATTCGAGTTCGCAAGACCATGGTGGATGGACGACAATGTCCCCTTGCTTCCTCTCTTCTTCACGCCCTACACCCTCCCCCACGAGCCCAACTCCGCCGCCTCCTCTTGTCCCTTCCTCTCCTGTTCCTCTATGGGATGCCAGACGTAGGGCGGCGCCGCTGCTGGGGCTGGGGCTCGCCCTGCACCATCTGTAGCAGTATATGTAGTCCTGCTTGCCGTGGCACTTCTCCTCGCAGTACCAGCCGGGCAGGTTGACGGTTGTGCCCCCTTGCTTCCTCTTCGCCGCTGCAGCGCCAATGAGCAGTGCTAGGCCTAGGACTACAAACCACACAACAATGCTGCCGCCACCGTTGTTCTTCTTGTTGGAACACATGATAAGAAGATAGGCAGTTTTTCGATTAAATTAATCCATGAATAAATCATGAGCATGACATGAACATTATTGATAACCCACTGATTATGATCTAACAGAGCATGTACTACGCAAATAGTAGAAATATCTACGCATATCGCTAGTACTGCTACAACAGAAAGAAATACGAGAGGGATCAGCGATGTATACCCTCCAATCGGCCACGCGGCGGCGGTAACGGTGGCAGTAGCCGCGGCATCCTCGGTGGCCTTCTTGTCGGCCTCGGCCTTCTCAGCAGCGGCACGGCCAGCATCGGTCGACATGGTGATGACGAAGGTGATGCAGACGTAGATGAACAGAAGCGAGCAGTCGCGTAGTCGCTACCCAAAAACCTGATCGCCCCTCTCCCGTACAGGATCCGGAGAGGCGAGGTTTCGGAGGCCTGCTCTCCCGTCAACCGTGTACGCGGTGAACGGGATGGAGTCGCCGGCGGCAGCAGCAGCAAAGAAACGACGTGGGCGTGGAGGCGGAGATGCGTTCTATTTTCGCGGCGGCTAGGTTTGGCAGCGCCCCACATATACATGTGCGGCCGCGCGTGGGCTGAACCCACGTCCAAGTCGGTAGCCCATGATCCCACGTCTCAGATCGTGGCCCTACCTGTCAATGACTCTCCGTTCCTGACCGGCAAAAAGAAGCGCATAGGAGTGAGCTCGGTTCAATCCCGCAACCCGCGCCGCGCCGCGCCGTGCCGAGGAGGAGTGCGCGAGGGCTTCTTTTCTTCTCAAGCTCCAATAGCATGAGGGAGAGAATCCCTTATAAACCACTCCAACTCTCCTTCCACTAGCATGGCGGGACTAAACTTCCCACCACCTTGTCATGCCACCTACATGGGCCCTTAGAGATTAAATATGAAATTTTCGTATGGGCTCTAGGCCCATCTTATATTTCAACAACACATACCCAGACCCATGGCTAGCTAGGTGGCTCGTTGGCTGGCAGCTAAATTAAACTAGCGATGGCTAAATATTATGACTGAGGCACTTAACGATAAATATTTGGGACTACCTGCCAATGTGGGCATGGACAAAAGCGATTGTTTACAGTTCTTGATTGATCGTATTATTATGAAGATTAGTGGATGGAAAGAGAAGTTGTTATCGGCTGGTGGAAAGGAAATTTTGCTTAAGTCTGTTGTTCAAGCTATCCCAACATATGCAATGTCCGTCTTTAAAATTCCTAAATTTTTTTGCAAAGGAATCATAGACGCAATGTCGCAATTCTGGTGGGGTGACGAGGACAATCAGAAAAGAATGCACTGGATGGCGTGGTGGAAGATGTGTGTTCCAAAAGACCTAGGTGGAATGGGTTTCCATGATATACACTGTTTTAACCTGGCTTTGCTAGCGAAACAAGCTTGGCGCCTCTTGGAAAATCCTGAATCCTTATGTGCAACAATCCTAAGAGCAAAGTATTTCCCGGAGGGCGATTTGATGAGCGCGGTATTAAAAAAGGGCTCCTCTTTTACGTGGCAAAGCATTATGGCGGGAGTGGTTTCACTCAGGAATGGCTATATATGGAGAGTCGGAACAGGAGAAAATATTGACATATGGAGAGATGCATGGATCCCGAATTGTGCAGATAGGAAAATTATTACACCAAGAAGGGGGAATCTCCTGACGAAAGTTTCTGAGCTTATTGACCCAATCACGAATTGTTGGGATGAAGATTTGGTGAGACAAACTTTGTGGCCAATTGATGCCTATAGAGTCCTAGCGATCCCGATCCCTATGCATAATATGTCGGACTTTATTGCTTGGAGCTAATACAAAAAATGGTTTATACACTGTACGATCAGCGTATGTGGAGGAATGGAAAAAGCAGCATGGGAGGAAATTGGAATACTCAGATGGCATGGGTAGAAGTAAGGTCAATCCTATTTGGGGTAAGATCTGGAAATTAGCTTGTCCGGCGAAGGTTAAAATTTTTATTTGGCGTACGCTCCACGGGACTCTACCGTGTCGCGTTACACTGGCCAACAGACACATAAAAACTCAGCCAATATGTCCAGCATGTTTGGATGGGCCAGAGGACAGGAAACATGTATTATTTCTGTGCCAGAAGGCAAAAGAAGTGTGGGAATATTTGGGGTTGTATGAAGTGGTAAAAAAGCCTGCGTCATTGACCGTGCAGGAGAGACAACCCTTGAATTCTTACTCCTTATGCCCGATCATGAATTACCTATCTTGGGCTCCCGGAATGCAGGGGAACTAATCGCTATAGCTGCTTGGTATTTATGGTGGAATAGACGGAAACTAGTTCATGAGGGTAAGTCTCAGGAGGCGTCTCAAACCTCCTTGGGGATTAGAGCTATAACAGCGAATTATGTAAATGCTCACTCACCTAGAGCAAAGAGAAAGAATGAAGGATGGTGCAGACCTCCAATGGGGTTTGTTAAATTGAATGTGGATGCTTCTTTTGATCATGATTAACTATGAGGCACAGCGGGTGCTGTTATCAGAGATGACAAAGGGAATTTCATAGTAGGTGGTAATTGGAAGATTCAGTACTGTGCGGATGCTCTGACAGCGGAGGCGTTAGCCC